TGAGCCTGTGATTGTATAAATTCCAATTAAGGTTTTTATCTTGAGTGTAATAGCTTTCATTTTGTAAACTTTTTTATTTATAGCATTGATTTAATAAATTTTTTGGATTTTGAGCTTGACACTATTGACTATAGATGGAATACGTGTCTGGGTTTTATTTCTCAAATAAAGTAGAAAATCTAATCCAAATTATGTATTAGTAATTCAAAAAAAAAAAAAGCTTAGGCATCACAATGATTTTTTTAATAAACAATAATTATAACAATAATGGTAATCATCGCTATCATTATAACAATTATTATTATCAATACTATCAGCACCGTTAGAACTATTATTATAAGCTTATAATAAAATGTAAATAAAATTTATTAGATACATAAATCTATATCATAAATCATATATTTATTTGATGGTTATCTGAAAAGTCATCGTGTGCGATTTATATACAGTATTTTCAAAACTTGAAGAAATGATGCACTTTCTAATAATTAGAAGAAATCTTAGTAATGTATTAAAAGCAAAATAAGAAAAAAAAAGAAATTTCACAGTTGGGAAGTACGAGCTTAATAGCTTGCACTATTTTAATAGCCAAATTTAAGGTTTCTTTTCACTGGCTTAAATTTTCGATTTCATTTATAATTTTATCGCCCCTAGCATTCCTATTTCATTCTTATTGCTTGTCAGATTTTCAGCTACAGCAGGCTTTAAATTATCTTCAGTAGATAATTAAATACCCTCTCAGTATTTAACAATGAATCAACTTTCATTACTCGCAACTAAGACACACTACATAGATGCCATTAAGATCAAGTGGTATTTACAATTTGCTGAAGCCAGTGAATGTTTAAACGCAAAGAACCTCCCTTTATCTTATTTTAAATTTCAATTTACTGACTGTATAAGGTTTCAACTTCTAAAGCAAAAATAAAATTTCTAGATTAGAACCTTAAATTCAAAGATATGACATACTATTATCTCAGTAAAATAGACTCTGTAATTGGCCAATTAGAATGCTTCATTGACTTCTTTATCCGTCCACCTCACTATAATCATGTTGAGCTTGATCCTGAAAGCAATAAATTAGATATTTTTATTTTATAGAAAAAAATAAGCGTGAAGTGAAAATAAATAATTTTTAAAAAAAATATAGTAATACTTAGGTTTTTATTTATACATTTGTAACATTTCTGCTTTTTGTGCATTTTCAATTCATTACAAATATAAATAATATATAATGGCCTTTCAATAATAATAATAAATTGCTCAACTACAGAACTTGATTATTTTTCTGGCTGATGTACTGTGGTCATATAATGTATAATATGACAGACTTCTGGACTTTTACTTTTTAAAGTTCAAAACGTTTAACAAGTTTTACAAGAATATGCTTTAATTTATTGTCGTGGTCAAATTTGGTGCCCGGGTATTCATAGCGCAAGGTCGGGTATTGTGATCACGATTTAATTAAAAGTCTAAAATAGTGAATTGTATGAACAATGTAGTAATCAGTAGCGATTAGTAATAATAGCGATGCATTAACAACATAGTAATTGATAGCGACTAGTAATTAATAAATAAGGCATCGATCCCAAAAGGGAAAATGCATAAAGATTAAGTTACATTTGCTTAGTGTAAAAATGACCTTTGTGAATAAACTGTCAATTGCGTGTATATATTATCAGTGGTAGTATCTGGTAAGATACTCCAGTCATCGCGAAATTAGCCAAGCGAATTAAAGACTGCAAAACATCGGTAAAAGCCAAGAAGTGCATGGTGGTCCAGAAAACTCTGTGACATTTATTCATGATACTAAGAATATTAGAATAATAAAATCGCTTTCCAAGTTTCAAAATAGTGACCAAAGACAAACTTTTTTTATTTACCATAATGCGGGATTGTTTCAGTGAAACTGCTTCTTAAAATCCAAAACATCTGCAAATGAAACGTTAACTTATTTACAATACTAAGAATATTAGAATAATGAAACGCCTTCCAAGATTCAAAATATTGTCCAAAGATGAACCTTTCTATTTACCATAATGCGAGATTGTTTATTGAAAATGAAAGTTTCAGCTTAACCCACAAAGCTACAAATCCGAAACGTTTTTACAGATGAAACAGTTTTCTAAGCAGAGCTGAAACACTAACGCGGGCCCATAAATCGGCGCTAATGAAAATTAAATAATGAAATGAATTGGCAAAAGTATAAAAGATTGGGTTTTATGCTCCATTTTTAATATACCTCAAAATATATTTTCATAAAAACATCCTACAAAATTTCAATTTTATATAATCATATTGGTGAACCTACTAGTACAATGAGCTCTCAACAAAAATCTAATATAAAACATTTAACACAAAATATTAGAAACTCTATACATAGTAAATATATATATATATATATTGTTTTGTTTTGGATTTTTGCAAAAATAGTTTACCATAGTGCACTGACCAAAATATCCCCCTTTTTCTATATCCCCCCTTGCAAAGTACCTGGTGCAAAACACGAAACCTCTATTAATTAATATAGGTTTTTTTTAAATTTTTAGACTGCTTATTGTAAGTGCAGAATTATACATGTTGGCAAAATCCTGACTTACTATAGTTTGGGATTTGTCCATCATCCCAAATCCCAAATCCCAAATTCT